GGCTAAAGAGAATCATTTCTGAGAACTCTGTGTACGAGAAGAGACCCGAGTACAGGATGTGCTGGTACGTCCACTCGGAGGTGCTGAAGAGTTTTGCTCAGGAGCACCTCCCCGTCCCTTGCCAGTGGAACTACGTCACCCAAGTCCCTGCTTCGGGGAGGGAGGACAGTGGCAGCACGCCGGGCACGGCGCTCCTGCAGACCCCGCCTGTGCCCGTGAAGAGGAAGTCCACTGGAAGCATGTGCATCACGAAATTCATGAAAAGGCCCCGGGGTGCTGAACAGGTGAGCTGCTTTGGCAACACCCTTCCCTGACAAAAAAAAAATCAGTGGGAACGTGGCTGTGCATCCTCAGTAGGTGAGCGTTCTGGCGTGCCACCTAGCTTGGCCTAGAGCTGCCATCAGAATCAAAATATTGAGCCCTAGAAACCAAGCTTCAGGCAGAAAGACCCAATTTGTGGGGGAAGAGTGGAATTGGGCACCTCTAAAGAGGTGGCTTTTTTTTCTTGCCCTGTAGCTTGGCCTGTTCCGTTTGGAACATTGCTCTCCTGCTGTTCTACTTTCTGCTGTTTGGCAGCGATTGCTTCCAAGCCATGAATAGTTGGAGCGTCTGCTCGGCCGTGCTTTTACAGCTGGCTGCAATTTGTGGGCAGGTTTTTGTGTGTGTTTGGCTGCCAGATGTGCAGCTGGGGCTGCTGACTTGCATCGGTTGCGTGTGTACCGCTGAAACGTGGTTCCTAGGTGCTGCAGCTCAACCCCGGACAGTCTGTGGAGTCTCATCATGCATAAAGCTGGATTTCAAGAGCTGGATTAAAAAAAAAAAACATGAAATAAATCACAGGAACCAAATGAGATGGATTTGGAGCCGTTGCTCTTCCAGCTCTGAGCTTTGTTTTGCCCTTCCTGCTGCGGTTGCCCTGAAAAGCAGAGGTGAACACACAGCATTAAGAGCTTAATTATCCAAAAGATTGATTGAGAAGTGTGTGATCGCTGCTTTAGCTGTGTGATTCTCTGTCATGCTCTTAAGACTGAGGCTTTAGATCCTGAAGCCTGGTATTAGCAACTGGTAGCCTCCAAACCTCCAGGCAGGACTGGTTTGCACTCTTCAGTGGATTTATTCATAATCCCTGTGGACAGGGGTGAGAAAAGCCTCACACGAGGCTTTGCATGCTTTTCTTTCCCACTTTATTCTTAATTTCTTTGGCTCTTCTACTGAAGAAGCTCTGCAATCAAGGACAAGCATTGATAGGGATCAGAGATTTGCGAGAAACTGTTCAGCCCCCGAACTCCATCTGCTTGGGTTTTTTCATATGCACTAAATAAAGGCAGAGATTTAAAAAAAAAAAAAAAAAAAATCTGCTTGGCACCCACTGGAGATTCTGCTCATAACAAATTGAGCAGAAATAGCGAAACAAAGGTTTTTAGTGGAGTTGCACCGTTGGCCTGAATTCTTCAAAGCTCTCGGAAGCACCTCAGTTGCCCTCGTGAGGTGTGGTGCAGCTCAGAAAAAAGGTGGCAGGCTCCTGGAAGCCTCTCGTGCCCTGTGCCTAAATCAGTGCAGGTGCTGAGCTCCCATTCTGCCTGGTGGAGAAACTGGGGAACCTGAGAGCTTCGACCTGCCAATTGTTCTCATCCGTGGCACCCAGAACTCTGCTGTGAAGCTCACTCCAGGGCTTTTGTAAGTGAAGGTGCTCTTACATAAGCTGCAGAGAAAGAAAAGCTCGTTCAAGTGGGCAATACCTACACGTGTGTAGGAGGGGAATGCTGAATCTGAGACGTGTGACTTCAGGGACAGCTGTAAACTTAAAGCCCATCTAATTCCAGACCAGAAATTTTAAGGTCCCTCCTAATAAGGTCCCTTCTAACCCAGACCATTCTGAGATTCTATAAAATTGTGTGGATAGGGACCAAAGTCTATCTCAGACTTCCATTCCATGGTTCCAATTAAAGGAGAAAAAAGGGGAGGAAAAAAAAAGCTGTTCAATGCTGGGCAACTTCAGTTTGTGTTTCTCCTTGCATTCTTTTTTTTTTTTTTCTTTCTGATTCAAAATGAGTGGTTTGTGCTGCTCCCAAGATAGGGTCACCCAGGGAAGAACTGTCATCCCCCCCCGAATAGAAGCTGGCTGTCCAAGATGAAAAGTCGGGAGAGAACGAGCTTACATTTGACAGGCAGAAGTCCCTTTCCATCTCCAGAAGCAAAAAAGCATCAAAAGAAATCAGGAGAAGGGGGGAGAAAAAAAAAGAAAAGGACAAAACAGAATGGAGTTGGGAGTTGGAGTTTTAATTGAGGTTTGAACTGGCTTTCAGATGCGTGGGCTGCTCGGTGTAACAGGGGAACATCTCGGAGCAGAAGCTTGGCGTGCTCCCTGCTCTGCGTGCCATTTACCCTTTACCACAGGACAATGTGCTGAAGCCAGGGGTTGCTTTTCTTACTCTTTTTTTGTTCCTTACAGTGACGCCTGCCTGCTCAGCTGGCCATGAGGAGTGACCGCTGCAGCCCGACTCGGCGCTGACTGTGCTGGATCTCGTGCTGGCGCTGTTGGGTCACTGTCACACCCCTGATACCTTTATTTTTTTTCTTCTAGGCTGAAGCTATGGACATGGATGGATTTCAGGCGGACACTGAGGAAGATGAGGATGACGACGACTGCATAATCGTGGATGTACAGCCAGGCAAAGGTGGGAAAATCATTGACAGCAGTCTCTTGGCAGGCGATCACTCCCAGAAGGGAGAGCACAGTGGAGCAGGATCCGCAGCTAAACCTGGTGCGGGTTTGCTGCTACAGTTTCAGCAAGCTTTGTGCTCTTCCCTATAGATGTTTTATTCAGGATATTTTTGTCCTTTTTGTGATTTATTCTAGATGCTTCTTTGATTTTCGTGCTTTGCTCTAATCTGCTCTTGCCCTTTTTCCTTTCTCCCTCCAAACGACTAAGCAAAGTGCTCGTGAATAGCCATCACCTGCCAGTGTTGCTGTTTGTTTCTGATAGGAAAAGTGAACGTTGGGGTCGGTATAAGCAGATCCACTTAATATTGGTAGCTGCTGCTGAGAAGGGCTGGTCTCTGGGGCTTGCACGCTCAGTTCAGCGCTCTTCCAGGACTGACAAGGTTTGGAGTGTAGCTTTGCTGCCTTCTTGAAGTCTTAAGTGCATGCTGAAGTGTCTGTTCTGAAGGAAATAACATCGGCTAATAACCAAGCTCTCAGATGTTTGACACATGAGCGCTCTGATTACCACTGTGCAGCTTTGTGGTAGAACCTAAGCAGTTGTTTATATTTGTGTCCCAGTTATCTCTTGGAAAAGGGTTTTCAAAAGCTCTCCTGCTATAGTGTGTCCTTTCAGGCTACGGATTCAGAAACAGTGGGATGAGGAAATGGAGCGGCTCCTTTCATCTCAGCGAGGCTTTAGATATGTGTACTTGATCATACAGATCAATGGCTTAACACAAACCACATGCAGCTCCTCTAAATCACTTTTAAAACCTCCGAGCTCCTTCTTACAGCTCCACAATAGCTCGTTCACAGTGCTACTCGCACAACCTGAATTAAGGAAAGTGCTGGGATTTTGTTGGGCAGCTCCTCTAATTGATAGATAAGGACCTGTGCATATTCCCAGAGTATTAAATTCTCGAGTGTTTGACCCATTCTAGACGCACCTTGGGTCTCCTTTCTGTCTGAGCTGGTGTTGGATCCGTCCTCTCCCTTCCCTCACAGACAATGCAGCTGTTTGGCCAGAAGCTTCTCCTTTAATCTTAAGCTGCTTTTGCTTATTCCATGACTGCAGTGGGGTGAAAGCCTCCCTGCAGACTGGCAGCTTCTTGTTCTGAGGGCTCTGGTGCTGGTCGGTAGCAGCTCTGCCTGGTTCTAAAGCACTAAAAGATCTTTTTTAGGATCCAAGTAATCTTATTCTGCACTGGTGTCACCCAGCGCCAAAACAGCAAGCGTGTATGCATGGCGGTAGTCAAATTCTGCTGGTTTAATGAGGATTTTGTCTAAAAACCAAAACTTTTTCTACTTTGCAGGTTCTACGTTGGCAGTTACTGAAACAGCTTCAGCATCCGGTGGCACAGCTGCCCCTCCTCAGGACGCCAGCACGGTCAGCCCACCTAATACAGTTTGAGACTTAAATGCCTACTAACTTCTCTGTATGTATGTAGAATTACTTAGGAAATTTTAAACCTTGTGTATCTTCGACCAAGATACTTGAAAGTATTCCATATTTCTTGTAAAGAGAAGACAGCACTTTGTTCTGCTTCAGACCAGATGGAAGCTTAAATTTTTAGCTCTAGTTTTTAGCTTAAAAATATTGCATATTAATCTGTCCTTAATAAAGCATTATTGAAATTTTGATACTTCTTTGTAATGGAAGGTATCTAAGTTATCTCGAAAACTAGTGGAGGGGGTTTTAAACTAAGCTTATTGTGATGCCTCTGGGGAATTTCTCTGTTCATAATGTTGTATAGCATGCCCGTGGGTATAAATGATGTACAATTATATTTGAATTTATGCTCTCTCTATTATCCTGTTTGTGGTCTTACTTGCTCCAGGGAACAGCAGCAGGCTTTACCTTTGGAAAAGAAAGAACCTGCGAGCTGCTTCTCCTGTTCTGTGATAACCTGGCATGTAATACCAGGCTTGCTGCCAGCTTACTGCTCTCCTGTACCCATCACAAGTCGTATGTGTATATAAAAGCTGGTTTCTACCCCACAGAAGAACTTAAAATTTAAGCATAAAGGAATGAACTAGCAGCAGACTTGCTAATGAATGTAACAACGTTCCTGTGTTGTTTTTAATTTCTTGTAAGGGTTGTGAATGAGTTCCCTAAATAGCAGCATAAAGAGCTCCTGATGTTTATGCTCCCAGGCTGCCCCTTGTTCTGGCTGCAGGTGCCCCAAAGCAAGAAGGTGAGGGAGAGGTGTGATGCCACAGCACAGCACGTGGTGATCACCTCTGAAAGGCAAATGTGTGAGAGCAGCACGGTTCGAAGAACTTTAAACCAAGCGGAGTCTTTAAATATTCCATTTAATTAGGCTAAACAACTTTTATCTAAATATACTCTCTCCAATAGGAGTTACAGTGCACACAGAAGCAAAAGGAAAAGCTGAAGCCTAAGCCCAGGCCCAGCGCCAGGCTCGCTCAGTTGGGATCCAGCCTCGTATCCACCCCTGCTCCCTCCACCAAGGGAGGGAAGTGGTGCTTCATCTGGGAACCACCTCGAGCAGTCACGGCTGGAATTTGGTCTCTAAAGCCACCAAGAGCAGTCCTGGAAGTGTTTTACTGGGCACGACTGCCTTAGTGTTTGGTTACTGAGCTGGGAAGGTGACTGCAAGGTTGGGTAAACTGGCGCAATCTCTAGCCTCCCACTCTGCAGAGCTAAACCCCAGCCAGTTCGGAGGTCGCACAGCTGGAAGCTCCACCAGTCTGTATGGGAACAGAAGGGAACAGGCTGAAGCCACTGTCACTGCATCCATTCCCCTTTATTTCAAGACAGTGTCTGGACCCTAGAGAGAAGTTCTGGCTTCAGGGGGCTCGCTGGCTGCTCCTGGCCTGATGCCTGGATGTCCGACATGACCGCTGTGTCCCACACCAGGGTCAGGAGGGCCGAGGGCACCTGGAACAGAGACGAGAGCGTTACTGAGCTAGTGCCACACTTTAACCTCCTCCTACCATGCTGTGCGTGTTCAGAGCTGGAAAAAAACTTAGTGAGAGCACTTCAACCAAAAAGGAGGAGTGGGGATGGGCAGGAAGCTCCCCAGGGGACACCGATGGTGGAAGCTTTATGCTAGAGCTGTGCTTGGCTCATAATTTGTGCTGTCCTGGCTGGCAATTGATGCTTCTGATCTAACTCCTAGCAATTACTGCAGCCTGCACTTCCTACAAAGAGTTTGGTCCCTAAAATTCCTTCCCCATCAGCACCTGCGCCTTGAGCCAGAAGCCTTGGTGCAATGACTTGCTAGAGCTTAGAAAGAAAGGGCCAGGGCATGACTGTCCTGAAAGCGTAAGACAAATCCTAAATTATGAGCAAGAGCTGACCCTGACAACGCGGGTTCTGGGGTTCTGTTGTCCCGTGAAGGCCCCCGTGCAAGGTGCTGGCTCTTACTCACCAGCCCACACTCATTGAAGGCCAAGTTCTCGTCAGTCACTTTGAGACCTCCAGGTCCCAGGAGCTCAAAGGGCAGCCAGTCATCTCTGAGGGCTTCTCTCACAAAGCTGTAGAGCACAGATACGGGTTCTCTTGCATAAAAAGTCCCTGCCATGAGAAAATGAGGTGTGAGATACTGAAAGAGGCCCTGGCATTTACCAAATGGAGCCTTTTGTGGGAGGTTTCACAGGGCTCTGGTACTGCTAACTCCATGAACTGCCTCAGTGGCATAAAACCAGCCTGATTTAACTGAAGTATAAAAGTAGAATTCCCAAAGAAAAATGTTACTTCCATTGCTGCAAACCCCTGCCAGGCTGTAACAAAGAAGCAGCCAAGCCTGAAATTATTTCTGGAGTTCTGTTACAAAAGGTGAAGAGGATTTATGCTGTTGTAGAGCCTGACACAGCACAGGCAGCCCCATGCTGGCTCCTCTAACAAACTGATCTAAGAAGTCCAGCTTGCTAGCAGCAGCCCGGGCAGAGCTCATTTAATTAACAATACCTCCAGATTCCTCCCTCTGTCAGCCCTGCCTTGCGGTGCCAGCCCCGGGCAGGCGGAGGGCTCAGAGCTGGGAAGAGTCATTACAGAAGTGTTACCCCACCCCGCTCCTGCTGCTTTATTCCGTCGCTGGTTATTGAAGCTCTTGGGCTAGGAGAGAAAGGGCAAGAAGCCCTTTACCTTGCAGGATGTATCCGTCAGGAAACCTGACCCGCAGCAGGGTGTAGTTGTACTTCCGCATTTCCCTTTGCTCTTCTTTCTCTCGCATGGCTCGTGTCCTCAGCATCGCAGCCTTCTCCACCGCCTCTGTCCTTTAGATATTTAGACACAAAGTGGTTTTCAGCCCGAAGGAGGGGTGTGAGGCCGTTAGCTGGCACCGCACACCCCCTGGGTAGCGGGGTCCTCCCCTCCTGCCTACTCACCGGAGCCGCTGCTCGCGCTTTATCTCCTCTGCAGTGAGGTTGAAGAAATCATCCGGCAGCTCAAAGCGAGCAGCCTCAGGCGAGGGTTTAAAGACGCAGAGCTGGCGATCCAGCTGTGGCCGCACCGGCTCCGAGCTCAGAAGTTGCTCTTTGTAGTCCTTGAGGTCTTCCAACCGGGTCAGCATCTCTTCCTTCAGCACGTAGTACTCCTCTGTGGCCTCTGCAACCCAAAGCACAGGGCTTGAATGTCCCGGCCTTCACTTGAAGCATGGAAGGATCTCCAGAAAACACAGTTTTGACTTGTCAGGGAGAAGGCAGGGTGAGGGGCTGTCAATGTGACCGCCTTGGAGCGTGGAGCTCTTGGAGCAGCCCAAGCTGGCTGCCCCTGAGCAGTGGGACAGCCCAAACTGCTCACCCCAGCGTAACACACGTAAATGGCTTGCCTTGTCCCGGAACAGGCAGCGTTCTCGTCTCAAACCCAACAGCCTGGAAAAAGTTGTGTGCCCCTTCCAGGCAGTTTATCCTTTCCTGGAAGAAAAGGGAAGGTTTAAATGCGCTCTGCTCCAAAATCCTCGGCAGGGCAGCTGCAGGAGCCGTGGTCTCACCTGGAACACTTTGTTCTGCAGTTTGATTTTCCGGTACTTCTCCTCCTCTGGGTGGAGGTAGATGTTGTCCAGGTACCTGCGGAAAGAGGAACGGAATTCACAGATCAAAGCAGGCACTTCAGGATGTGCTGCCCCAAGGAGCAAAGGTCACATTGAAGGAGACAGCTCAGCGTGTTTCCTCACAGATCTGAGCTGAAAGAAAGTAAGAAGATGAAAGAAAGTGAAAATGAAGAAAGAAAATGATGAAGGAAACTGAAATGAAGTGGAAGAAAGTAAAACAATGCGTTTTGTGCCCCAGCCAGGCAGCAGATGGGGACGGCTGATCTCAGCCAGCAGCTCCCAAACCTCCTGAACCACTGCAGCCACTGGGACCAGCTCAGCAGCTGACCTCCTGTCACCTGCCAGCACCCCCTGGCTCAGACGTGTCAGGGCTTTGGGTTTGGTTTCCTTCAGACTCTGCATTTCCTTGCCGGGGGGACGAGCAGTCTGCGCCCACCCCCTACTCACTTGGCCACGGTCTCCACGCCCACACGGACTTTCTCCCGGTCCTTGTTGAAGGTGTGAATCTCCAGGATGGAGGCGGCCACGGGGTCGGTGGAAGAATACTGCGGGACAAGGAGAGAAGCTGGTCACAGGGGAGCTGACGTGCGTGGCTCACAGCTCCTTGCCTCAGCATTTGCAGCAAATTAAAGGCACGAGGAGCATTTTAAGTCAACGCCTGAAGGGAGCTGCCCTCCTGGGAGGCAGCACAGGGTGGAGCTTTACAAGGCAGAGGGTTCGAGGTCACTGCTGCGCTGCTCGGGGAGATCCATGCCACAGGATGGGTTTAAAGGGGAAGGAGGGAGAGGCGTGCAGTGGTGCTCACCAGCTGGATGGCTTCCCGCAGGTGCTTCTCTTTCTGGTCTCTCCTTACAACCGCGCCCGTCAAGGGACAGGTGAAATAGACCCCTGAAACCGAGGGTCTGGCTGCCGCTTCGGTGTCAGGGAATGCTGGGTCCTGAAAGAGACCAAACCATATCTGAAGGGAGGAAGGAGGCTTTGTTATTTGTTTCAGCACATCAGCGCTCCCAATCTGATGCAGTTTGGGAGCAGCAGCCCACCTCCTACCTCTTTGTCAGTGGAGATTCCTTTCTCACTCGCAGCTGCCTCAGCCATGAGCTCCTTTCTCACTAGGAGAGACAAATCCTGGTTACAGGGGCAGGGGCACAGACCCCGAGTGGTTCAGCAGCGAGCTCTGTGCTCCGCAGCTTTGCCCCAGGGATGCTGACGCTCCTGTGGGTGCTGTGCTCCTGGCCCAGGAATGCACACCCGTGTGTGACCCCATTTCTGAGAGGTTTGTCATCAGCCCCAGCAGCACTGCCCAGCTAACCCTGCCTGCCTGGGGACCCCTCTCCAGACCAGGAGAGGCTGAGCTCAGCTCACAGAGCTGCAGGGGCTGGCAGGGTGCTCAGAGCTCCCCGGGTCCAACCCCCCTGCCAAAGCAGTTCCCCAGAGCAGGCTGCCCAGGGAGGCGTCCAGACGGGCCTTGAATATCTGCAGAGAAGGAGCCCCCCCAGCCTCCCTGGGCAGCCTGTCCCAGCGCTCCGGCACCCTCCCCGGGAAGAAGTTCTTTGGCGTGTTGGTGCGGAACTGCCTGGGCTCCATTTGGTGGCCACTGCCCCTTGTCCTGTCCCCACCGAGAAGAGCCCAGCACCGTCCTGCCCTCACCCTGACACCTTTACACACACCGATCAGGTCACCGCTCAGCCTCCTGTTCCCCACACCCCAGCTCCCCGAGCCTGTCCCGGTAGCACCGACGCTCCCCTCCCTCCACCACCACCCCCGTGGACCCTCCCGATCCTCCCCGAGCCCGGCGCCCCCCTACCCTGGTTCCTGATGGCGTCCTGCGATGAGGGCGGCTTGGCCTTGCCCTTCAGCTCCATGCGGGCCAGCGCCGCCGCCGCCGCCATCTGCGCCTCGTCCGTGGGGCCCTGCCGGGGCCTCGGCGCCGCCTCCGCCTTCGGCTTCTCCTTGGGGGCGCTGCGGGGGGACCGGGGCCGCTGAGGGGCAGCTCCGGGACCCCCCCCTCCCCCGTTCACCCCCCCCCTCCGTGCCCGGTACCGGCCCGGCCTCACCTCGCCCCCCCCCCCACCCTCCCGGTACCGGCCCGGTCCCCGCAGCCCCCGCGCCCAGTTACCGGGACGGTTCCGACAGCTTCTGGCCCGGCCCCGCGCTCTTGAACTTGAGGTCGGCTTTGATCTCCTGGAAGAATTTCCGCATGGCGCCGGGCCCCGGCGGCGGGCCGGGAGCCTACCGGCCGCCTCACCCGCCCGCTTCCGCCCCGCTCTGCTCGCTTCCGCCGGAAGCGGCGGAGTCGCCGCTCTAGCCCGCCGCTCTAGCCCGCCATCTCTATGGTTGGCGCGCGCGGTCCTCCAAGAGCCGCCCCCTCCCCCCCCCGTGGAGGTCCCGGTGTCCCCCCTCCCCCGCGGCCCAGCCCCACAAAGCAGCTCCCAAATCCCAAAGCCTCCCCCAAAAAAGCCTCCAAATCCATCCTAACCCCCCCAAAAAACTCCAAATCTGTCCTAAAGGCCCCAGACCCCTCCTCAAAACCCCAACTCCCCCCCGAAAAAAACCCCAAACCCATCCTAAAACCCCCCAGTCTCCCCCCCCAAAAAAATCCTGTCCTAAAACCCCCAACTCCCCCCCAAAAAAAACCCCGAACCCATCCTAAAACCCCCAAACCCTCTCCAAAAAAACTCCAACCCCTTCCTGACACCTCCAACCCTTCCAAAAAAAACCAAACTCGTCCTAAAACCTCCAATCCCCCCCTTAAAAAAAAACAACTCGACTTAACCCCCCCAAAACATCCAAACCTGCCCTAAAACGCCAAACCAACCTAGAAATTCTGTGATTCTGTGAAAACCCCCAATCGCACAAAAAAAAATCCAAACCCATCCGAAAAACCCCAAAGCCTCCCCAAAGCCCCTTAGCCCGTCCTAAAAGCCCCAACCTCCCCCAAAACCTCCAATCCCATCCCAACTTCCTGCACCAAAAAAGTCCTAAAGAAAAAAAAAAATAAATAAAAAATCTCCAAATCCATCCTAAAACCCCCAACCCCTTCCTAAAACCGCAGCCATAATTCCCCGGAGCAGGCGGGCGTGCAGCGGCAGGGTGCCCCTGTCAGCTGGGCGATCCCAGGGGGCCAGATGTGGGTAAATAATATAATAATATCTTCATAAATAAAACAAAGTTTGGTTAAATAAAACCAAGTTTGGTTAAATAATACAAAATTTGGTTTTTCTCCACATGCAGCTCCCTGCCTCCAGCCGGCGGCTTGTGCTGAGGGAGGCCTCGCGCCGCCGCTGCCTCCGTCCTGCTGCCAGACGTGAATCTTGAGACAAAAATGAATAAAATAAAGGAATTTTAAAATATATATATTTTATAATAAAACTTTAGGTGTGGCCCTGTGCCTCCAGCAGGAGCTCGGCAGGCCTCATGCTGGGCCGAGCGTCCGGGGGCACCCAGCACAACCCCACAGCTCCATCCTCCCCTGACACCTGCATTAAAGGACTAGGAGACACTTTTTTTTCAGTGAAAACCCCTAAAATCAGTTCAAAACCAGGCAAAGGGCTGAAAATTGTGTGAGAACAGCGCAGACAGGAGGCCGGGGGCCGGCTCCACGAGGTTATTCCCACACGGAGCTGGGCCGCAGCGGTGCCATTTTCCCCCTGGGGCCATCTGGGACCGGCCCCGTGGTGTCCCCACCACGTCCCCAGGGGCCCGGGGGCTCCTCCCGGGGCCACCTCAGAAACACAGAGCCCCAGGAGCTGTTTTTGTGGCTTCCCTTCCACCCAGCCCTGCCTAATTTCCCCTCGCCAACAAAGCCGCCGCGCACGCCCCAGGTGCTTCAGGCGAGCGCCCGGCCCGGGTTTGTTCTCGTTTTGCCTCTCCCCAGAGGTGTGACGGCCATAAAATCATCCCTACAGCATTTTGGGGTTGTTGGCCAGCACCTCGGGCCGCCACGTGCTCGCACCCGGCCGCTCGCCGCTGTTTCGCCGCCGTTTGTGCCTTCGAAGCCGGCAGGTGAGCTTTTTTTCGGTGACTTCACGGATAAAACGGGATGAAAAAATGGGGCTAAACCAGTGTGAGCTTCCAGATGGATTCTTTATATCATTTCACTCCAAATTAGTAAAATTTATTAATTTATTATTATTTTTTAACTTAAATAAGGATGTAAACAGGTCTAATTCCACTGCACAATTCCCACTTCTTCCCCCTATAACCTCCCCTTTCCCCTATAACCTCCCCTTTCCCATGCCCCAGGCAGAAATCCCGTTGGCTCTGCTGTTTTTTGGGGTCCCTTGCAGCTGTCCCCAGTTTCTGGTGACACCGGGATGTCCCTGCTGCTTTTTGGGGAGCTGTGGGGATTTCATTTCGCCGGGCACAGCCTGCCCCAGCGCCCCCCAGCCCTGACTATTGCAGAGGGGCTCAGGCTCTTTGGGCTGCGCCCCCACCCCCAGCCAGACAGCTGCTTTTTACCCTTTTTACCCCAAAAAAGCAGCTGCTGGGCTCGCCCCTGCTCCCCAGCACGACCCCCGGGGTTCCCATTAGGGTCCGGTGGCGCCCTGTGGGGCATCCCCACCCCCGGACACCCCCCAGGGCCGGTGCCCCCCCGGTGTCCCCGCAGCCCCCTGCCCTTACCCTGGTTTGTTCAGCCCCGGCCCCAGCCCCACAGCTCACCACGGGTCCCGGGACCCCCAGGGACCCTCCCAGACCCCCCCCCGGGACCCTCCTGGAAGCCCCTGGACCCTCTTGGGACTGTCCCGAGAACCCCCGGACCCTCTCGGGACCCCCTGAGACCCTCTCGGACTCCCCCGGGACCCTCTCGGACCCCCCCCCAGACCCTCCTGGACCCCCCCGAGACCCCCAAGGTCTCCCCGGGACCTCCCCGGATCCCCTCGGGACCCCCCCCTGGACCCCCGAGACCCTCCCGGACTCCCCCGGGACCCCCTGAGACCTTCCCGGACACCCCCAGATTCTCCGGGACCCTCTTGGACTCCCCCTGGACCCTCCCGGGACCCCTGAGACACCCCCGGGACCCTCTCGAACCCCTCCGGGACCCCCCGGGACCCCTTAAACCCTCCCGGGACCCTCCTAGACCCCCTGGACCCCCCCTGGACCCCCATGGTGCTCCCTAGACCCTCCTGGGACCCCCCGAGACTCCCCCAGGACCCCCTAAACTCTCCTGGGCCCCTCCCGGGCTGCCCCCGGGCCCCCCCAAGACCCCCCTAGGACCCTCCTGCACCCCCTAGACCCCCCGGGACCCCCCTGGGACCCCCCCGGAACCCCCTGGACCCCCCAGGGACCCTCCTAGACCCCCCCAGACTTCTCCTGGGACCCCTGAGACCCACCCTGGACCCTCCTGGACCCCCCCGGGACCCCCTAAACTCCCCCGGGATCCTCCTGGACCCCCCCGGGACTCCCCGAGACCCACCCGGGATCCCCCGAGACCCCCCTGGGACCCTCCTGGACCCTCCTAGACCCCCCCAGACCTCTCCCGGGACCCCTGAGACCCACCCTGGACCCTCCTGGACCCCCCCGGGATCCCCTGGACCCCCCGGGACCTCCCGGGACCCCCCTGGAACCCTTCTAGACCCCCCCTAGACCCTCCTGGACCCCCCCGGGACCCCCCCGGGACCCCCTCAGGACCCCCCCGGGACCCCCTCAGGACCCCTCCCCCACCTCTCCCGGGACCCCTCCCGGAGCCCCCCCCTCTCGCCCCCTCCCCTCTCCCGCCCCCTCCCCTCTCCCCCTCCCCTTTGGCCCCGCCCCCTCCCCATCCCGCTGAGCGGCCCGGCCCAATCCCATCCTCCCGCCGTGCCCTCTCCTCCCTCCCATTGGCCGACACCCTTGATCGGCACCTCCTCCCACCAATAGCCTCCTCAGCTCCGGGAGGGGCGGGACATCCTGCGGGCCGGGCCGGGCCGTCTCCACCCCCCCCCCCCCCGCTGCCCGGTGCTGCCCCGCGGCCTGGGCCTGGGCCTCCGCCGCCTCCCCCCCCCCTCAGCCCCGCGGCCGCCCCCCCGCCCCCGCCATGCCGCACAGCTTCAAACCCGGGGACCTGGTGTTCGCCAAGATGAAGGGCTACCCGCACTGGCCCGCCCGGGTGAGCCCCGGGGGAACCGAGCCGCTGAGGGGACGGCGGGAGGAGGGGGGGGAGGAGGAGGCGGGCCCGGGACCGAGCCGCGCACCGGGAGGGGGGGGGGAATAAGGGGGGGGGGAACGGGAATGTACAGGGATGGGGCTGCGGGCACTGGGCCTGCATTGGGTGGGGGGCTCGGTGCTGGCACCGGGATGGGGCTCGGTACCGGGCAGGCAGCGGGGCGCGGGGACCGGTACCGGGCAGGGAGAGGGGGGGGGTCCGGTACCGGCAGCGGGGTGGGGGCTGCTGCCTGTGCTTAAACCGGAATGGGGGATCCGGTACCGGCACCAGCACCGGGACAGGGCCCGGTACCGGACCTGCACTGGGTGATGCTCTGGTACCTGCACCGGGGGGGGTGTCCCGGTACTGGCACCGGGATGGGGCCCGGTACTGGGCAGACACCAGGGTGGGGGACCTGGTACCGGTACCAGCAGCAGGATGGGGCTCGGTACCTGCAGTTGTACCAGGACGGGGGACACGGTACCAGTCCTGCACCGGGTGATGCTCAGGTCCTGGTACCTGCACCGGGGGGGGTGTCCCGGTACTGGCACCGGGATGGGGGCTGCTACCTGCACTGGTACCGGGACAGGGGACCCGGTACCAGCACCGGGACGGGGCCTGGTACCTGTCCTTGCACTGGGACAGAGGGTCTGGTACTGAACCCATACTGGGATGGGGTCTGGTCCCAGCACCTGCACTGGGGTGGGGGGTCCGGTACTGGCACCGGGATGGGGCCCGGTACTGGGCAGACACCGGGGTGGGGGACCCGGTACCGGTACCAGCACCAGGATGGGGCCTGGTACCTGCACTTGCACCGGGACGGAGGATGCGGTACCGGACCCGCAGTGGGACGATGCTCTGGTCCTGGCACCGGGAGGGGGTCTGGTCCCGGTCCCGGTCCCTGCTCAGGGCCTTCCCCCAGGCCAGGCAGCCCGGTTCCAGCCTGTCCCCAGCACATCCCCGCTCCGGGGCTGGGGCTGAGCCGCCCCGGAATAACGGGGTCCTGCACCCACAACGGGGCAGGAGCCGGCTCCCGGGCTGCACGCTGCTGCTGTCCCCGGTGGGACCGGTCCCGGAGCAGAACCGGGGCTGGAGGCCACACCGGGACCTGTGCTGGCACCGGGAGCAGGGCCCCGTGGTGCTGCCCATATAACGGGGGTGTCCCGCACTGCTGTGGGGTCGCGTGGGGCTGGGGCTCCAGCGAGGAGCGGGGCAACACTTTGGGACCCCCTGGTTGTGAACGGGGGGCAGCAGGAGGAGGAACGGGGACGCAGCCGGTTTGGGGGCTGCGAGCTGTGGAGGTGCGGGGTCAGGGGCAGCCGGTGCCGTCTGTGGGGTGCGGACGGGGGCAGGCGGCCCGGTGGCAGCACCGTGCGGTGGCACCGGAGGAGGAGTCGCGGATGGAGCGGTCGGGGTGAGAGGCACCTCGCGGCTCGGGGGGCTCCCGGTGGGCAGCCGGGGGCCAGGCGGGGTCGTCCGCCGTGCGGGATCGGGGCCGGGGGCCGGAGACGTCGCCGCTTGACCCGTGAGACCCGGGATGATGCCGTCGTGGCCGGCCTGGCACCGGGGGGGTCACCGAACACCGAAAGGATTCGGCCCTGCCAGGAGGGCGCTGGCGTTGCCGGCTTCCAGCGGCCTCTCTCCTGCTTTTAGCCGGCTCCTTTTTGGGGAGGCTCCTCCCGAAGACTTCTCCCCGGCCCGCGGGGACAGCCCCGAGAGCCTCCCGCCGCTGCCCCGGACCACGCCGAGCCGACCAACGGGCACCGGAGCCGGCGCGGCGCGTGGGAAGAAGACGCCGGGGGGGGCCCCCCCCTCGCCTCCCCGCCGTGCGTGCCGGAGTCCCGCCGCCGCCGCCAGCCAGGGCTACCGGGCGCCTCGCAGAGGACGTGCTCCAGCCGCTCTCTCTCACCACCCTCCCGCTTTGGGTTTCCTTTCAGATCGATGACATCGCGGACGGCGCCGTGAAACCCCCGCCGAACAAGTACCCCATCTTCTTCTTCGGCACTCACGAGACGTAAGCGCTGCCTCGCGCCCCCCCACCCCAAGCTCTGGGCCGCGCCCCCGCTGCCTCCGCTCTGGGCTCACCTCTGCTTTGTTTCTCTCCAGCGCCTTCTTGGGCCCCAAAGACCTGTTCCCCTATGAAAAGTATAAGGACAAATATGGGAAAACAAACAAGAGAAAAGGCTTCAACGAGGGATTGTGGGAAATCCAGAACAACCCTCACGCCAGTTACAGTGCCCCTCCGGTGAGTGCGGGCCTCGCGTGGCGGGGGGGCAGCGAGGACGTGGGCTGCGAGCACCTCCTGCTCTCCTCTTCTCTCTGCTTCTCCCCGCTGTGGTGTCTCCGCGCTTCCGCCTCGCGCAGCAGCTTTCTCAGGGTTGCAAAGCCTTCCCTTTCCTCTGCCCTCTCCCTTTCGGTGCAAGACTCGGCCCCGCTCGCCCTCCGAGAGGTAGGCACCTCTGTCCCCGGCTCCCAGGCGGAACGGGGAGCGCGCTGGGCGTGCCTCGCCCCGAACCCACCCAAAGAGGATTTTTGCCGTGCCGCGCTGAGCACGGAGGCTCACAGGGCGCGGGGCAAACCCCTCTCTTCAGCCGTCTCTCAGGTCCTGAGCCAAAAGCCCACCGACGGCTCCTCCAGCGGGCGCCAGGGCTGGCTGGGAGGCAGCTCTTCGCTGTCGGTTGTTGGCGTGCGAGGGGCCTTTCGTGACCGTAATTGTGTGATGCAATTTATTGTATAGCGATCTCCAGAGGAGGCGGCCAAAGCAGCTTCATAGGCAGTTGGGCTGAAGAGGCAGAGGCAGAGGAAGGTTTTTAAGGTGAGCTACGAAGACCGGCTGCTCTGGAGGTAGGCAGGCTCAGGTGTGCTGCTGCCGGCGCAGGAGAGAGGTTGTGGTTTGTAGGAGCGCCGGGAGATGCTCAGACCCGGCGCCGCCGAGGTGAGGCCGCGGAGGTGCCTGAAAACCTGGGAGCGACTTCGCCTCTCCGCGGCGGTGGGCGGGAGGCTGGTGGTGGTGAGGGAGGCGGCAGCCACGTCCAGAGACTGCTCAGCACCACCACGAACTCCCGGCGGGGTTGAGGAACCCACTCCTGAGGGGCTTGCTGGGAGCGGGGGGAGCGCCCGAGGCTACGCCGGAGATCCCAGCGAGGCTGCGGGTTCGCCGACTGCACCTGGAGGAGCAGAAGAGGTTGAAGGAGAGGCTTGACTTTGAGACCTGAGTGCAAGGAGGTGCCAGGAGGCCAAAATGAGGAGAGCCTTTCCAGCGGGAAGGCTCCGGTGCTGGAAGAACCCCCGCGCAGCTAGGGACGGCCGCTCCTGCTGCGCGTGAAGAACGAAACACCGAGAAGAAGATGGGAGCTCAGGTGTGAGGAACCTCACGAAGGGCTGACGAGAAGCTGGGACACCTCCCCTGCGTGGAGGGACGGAGCAGGATGGAAGATTTCCCAGCTGGGCCAGAGCAATGGCTCGAATCGAGGGCCGGCAGCCCAGGAGGAGGGCGGCCGCTCGCTGATTCCGGAGGAGAGGCCGAGCCCAGCCGCCGGCAGGGCAGGCAGAGGAAGGCTGGGATGCGCTCGCCCCTCGGGGGCCGTCCAGCCCGGGCTTCTCTGAGGGTCTGCGGCAGGGTGCGAGGCTGCCGGGGAGGGGAGCGAGGGCGCGGTAGGCGCAGGCTGAGCTGGGGACCCGCGGGAAGGTGGCTGTGGTGGTCTCGGGGTGGCGCGGAAGGGGCTTCGGGAAGGGGGTGCAGGGGAATTGGCAGCGGGTCGGCCGAGCGCCCTCCTTGAAGGGCCGGGAAGGTCTCTGGAGGGTGCTGGCTCCTCTCGGGGGGCCTCGGCAGGAGGGGTCTCTGCTCTGTGCTCCTCTGTGTGCGTGCTCCTCTCTGCTCAGTGCTGCTCTCTGTTGCTTGTCGCCCCTGCTCGCCCCTTCTCTCCTGCCTGCCGCGGGCCTGCGGGGGCAATAACGCTTTGTCATCTCCGCTGTCTTTAGCCCGCGAGCTCCTCGGACAGCGACGTTCCCGAGAACGACCCCATGGGGGGGAGCGACGCGGGGGACGACGAGGACGACCCCGCCATGGCCGCCGTCACCGCAGAGAAAATGGAAAGCGATGAGGACTCGGATCGGGGCAGCGACCACAGCGGGCTGAAGCGAAAATCGTTGGCGATGAAAGTGAGTGAGGGGCTGGGGGAGCAGGGCCAGGAGGCTGGGACGTGGGTGGTGGGCCCCCCACCGAGCTGCCCCCCTTCCTCCAAAAGAAATGAAGCATCTTGAACGTGTGGAGGGAGGAAGAAACCTCCTCCCTCCAGGGGGAAAGTTGGGTTAGTGCAGGTTTGGGGTCTCGCTGTTGGCTCGTTTGGTCTCTGAGGTGCTGGGACAGCCATGTCCTGGAGCAGTTTGTAGAGAGACCAGAGCTGCACAGCTCTTCTGAATGTATCTGGCTGTTTTTTTTGGGGTTCTCCTGGTGAGGGAGAGTTGGGCAAGCCCTTCTTAGCCAGGGTTTGCTTTCTGCTTGGGTGTTAGAGTGGGTGGGCTTCTCTCACTGTGTCGCTTCTTGGACGTCAGATGCCGGTGGCAAAACGGCCTCGGAAATCTTCCAGCGACCTGGATCAGGGCAGCCCCTCCCTGACAGAAGAAGAGAACTCAGAAACGTCCTCGGAGTCGGAAAAAAACAGTGACCAGGTGAGGAGGTTTGGGGCTGCGTCTGCCTGGAGGCTGGCAGGGTGGCGCAGGAAGGGCTGTGGGAAGAGTGTCACCATCTGCGGGGACAGTGACGCTGAGGCAGGGGGAGCAGACTGGCTTCACCACCGTGAGACTGTTCCCTATTTAATCTCTGAGTTTTCCTTCAGGATTTCACTCCCGAGAAGAAGCCAGTGGCCAGGGCTCCCCGGAGGATGCCTGCAGGGGGCAGGAAGAAGAAGGTAAATGTCCCGCTGCAGTGGCTTGGCCCAAGGGTTGCTGCTTCAGGCTCCTCTGCTCACCCCTGGGGTGAGGGAGCTGGCTGCTGGCAGCCCCTGGAGGGAGGCTGAGTCAGGGTGGGCTCTGCTGCGGGCTGGTGGGGGTCCAGAGCTAGAAGAGAGCTTGCTTGTGTCTCGGTGACCCGTCTGGGCGCTGTGCCGCTGTGTTTGGGGCAGCAGCTGCTCCCATTCCCCGCATCCAACCCCGCTTTGTGCCCGCAGAAAGTGGCGTCCGGCTCCGATTCGGATTCCAAAGCGGACTCAGACTCGGAGATGGGAAACGCAACCGTGGACATGACCAAGTCGGACTCCAACTCCGACTCGGACTCCGATGTGTCTGTGAAAAAGCCTCAGCGGGGCAGGAAGCCAGGTAGGAGACGCCAGGTAACACCCAGGAGACTCCATCTGCCACAAGCGGGCCGCTGCCGGCTCCCTCGGGAGGCTGGAGGGCGCGTGGGGTGGGTGCTCCTGGAGCTCTGGTGTCTGCTTCTGTGCTGAACAGCGTCCAGACGTTTCCAGAACACCTCCCAGGGCTCCTGCTCACCCTCCTCCCGTTGCCTTGCAGCTGAGAAGCCCCCTCCCAAGCCCCGTGGCAGGAAGCCGAAGCCTGAGCGCGTCCCCACCAGCTCCAGCAGTGACAGGTGAGGCTGGGGCGCCGTCCCCTGGGGCTGGGGGGGGTCGCTGGCCTCCCCTCCCACACGAGGGGTCCGAGCGTGCCCTGTCCTCGGCAGTGACAGTGACAGCGACGTGGACCGCATCAGCGAGTGGAAGAGACGGGACGAGGAGCGGCGGCGGGAGCTGGAAGAGAAGAGGAAGAGGGAGCAGGAGGAAGAGATCCGTCGGCTGCGGGAGCAGGAGAAGGAGGAGAAGGAGAAGAGGAAGGAGAAAGCGGAGAAGGGCGAGGAGGCGCACTCGGACAGCGACAGCAGCGCGGACGATGAAGTAGCCAAAAAGGGCAGGAAAGGCCGGGCCAAGGCTCCGTCCTCCTCAGACTCCGACCTGGAGATGGAGAAGGAGGTGAGTGCAATGCTGGGAGGGGCTGGGGGGGCTGGTGGCAGGCAGCAGCAGCCCGTCCTCTCCCTGCCACGTCAGCAGGAGCCTCCAGGAGCTCCGGGACCTGCTGTCCTGGCCTTCTTTTACCCTGGGGAGCACGGGGAAGGGCTGTGTGCCACGGGGAGCTGTGTGTTGGCCCAAGAGGCCCCATCCAGTTCACATCCCTGTGATGCTCTCTCCCCGCAGTCACTGCATTTACCCTGCTGTCCTCTGCAGAGGCAGGGGAAGGGCCGCCAGGGCTCGGCTGCGGCACTGAGGAGGGCTGCAGAGGGCTCGTGGCCAGGGGCAGGGTCTCCCTTTCAGCCTGCTGCCTGCTGCCCTGCACAGAGCAGGGCCGGGAGAGCAGCACGAAGACCTGAGCCCTGCGGGGAAGCGTGGCTCTGGCAGGCTGGGTGGGCTCTCCTCACCCCCGTGCTGTATCCCAGCTCCTTTTTTTACCCTGTGCTGGGACAGCCCTGCACCCAGAGCAGTTGGGCTGCTCGCAGCAGCCTTGCAGCAGTGCTGCTGTGGGTGCTGGCTGCTGGCACTGCTGGATCCTGCCCCGATGGGGCCGAGAGGACGGGAGCAGGAGCAGGCCGTGGTGCTGCCTCCCTCCCTCCCGCAGCGGGGTGGGCTCTGCCGCAAGCTGCTCTCGCCTGCATTGTTCTCTCCTTGAAGGTAAAGAAGCCGGCGAAGAAGCAGCCCTCGGAGTTGTCAAGGAAACCGAATCAGAAGGAGAAGAGGGGCCGAGCAGAGGAGAAACCGCGGAACAAGTCAGCATCTCCCCTCCTCTGCTCCTCTGGGGCCAGGGCTGCTCCTCGGCTGCTGCCCCAGCCCTGCTGCAGACCCGCGGGGTGGGGATGGGGTCCTGGTGGAGCTGGCTGTGCCAGCAGCACCCCCGGAGGGCTTCCTCCTCTCCTCCTCTCCTCTCTGGAGCTGAAGGGGCCGACGGAGGTGTCTGGGGAGGGGGGAGAACCAGGCTGAGCATCCCTGCTGCTCTCTGACACACGGGGGAAGATCCTGGGGGCATCCCGGGCCACCTCAGCTTTGGGCTCTGCCTTTCTGCAGTCCCGGGGAGCTGGGGCATGGGGGAGCTGCTGTCTCAGAGCTCCCAGCCGTGCGAGCTGGGAGATGTGTGTGGGAGATGTGAGTGTGAGCGTGGGTGGAGCGCGGCCGGGTTCTGCCGCCTGCCTGGCACTGCTGGGCAGTGGGGGATGCGCTGGGCCCTGCTGTCACCTCTCTCACTAGCCCAGCAACACGCAGGTGGTTTTACCTGCAGGCATCCCCTGCCTGATTGCACCTCGTTCCTTTTCCTCCCGCAGACCTCTGAAGGTGGAACGAGGCCGCAAGAAGTCGGAGCTGATCCCCGAAAGGAGAATGGAGAAGAAAAAGGGTGAGGGGGCGGGGGCTGTGAGGGCAGGTCACAGAACAGAGACAGAAGGGAGCCGGGGCTGCTTCCTCTGTCCCAGGGAAGGATCTTTCCAGCAGGGATCACTTCTTCTTGGGCCCTGCCAGTGCTGCTGTGATCCCTGCACCGTGTTGGGAAGTATTTACGGGGTGTGTAGGGACAGCTTCCCTGCAGGCATCCCTTTCCCGTTGGGGCACACCCCAACCTGTCCTCTTCAGAGCAACCCCTGGGGCTGCTTTCAGCCTTGGAGACACGAGAGGAAACCAAACCCATTTTGGGGGGAGAGCTTCTGGGCTCCAGGCCGTTGTGTGCTCCCTCCCTGATGCCCCGGCCTGTCTCTTTTCATTGCTCCAGAGCCCACCGTGGAAGAGAAGCTTCAGAAACTTCACAGTGAGATCAAGTTTGCCCTGAAGGTGGACAACCCGGTGAGTGCCTGGCTGTGTTTTCAGCCACCATGGGCACCTCGCCCAGCTGCTGGAGGCTGGTGGTGGTGGGCTGGAAGCTGGGAGCTGTGAGGGGACCATGCTCACAGCGGTGCCAGTCCCTGGTGCCCACTGGGAGCTGGCAGAGGAGCTTCTGCCCTTCTCTGCCACCCGTTCCTCTCCCTGTGCTGGGCTGTGGGCGTCCTCTCACCTGTGCTGGGGCTGGGGGGCTGCAGCGCTGGGTTTCTCCCTGGAGACAGGACCCAGAGCTTTTCCAACCCCCCCGGAGGTGTCTGGCAGACAGAATCCCTCAGTTTTCCCCCTGCTGCTCGTGCAGGGCCGGGTGTAACCCACGGTTTCTAACCTCAGTGCCCTCCTTGCAGGACATCAAGCGCTGCCTGAACGCGCTGGAGGAGCTGGGCACGCTCCAGGTCACCTCTCACATCCTGCAGAAGCACACGGACGTAGTGGCCACTCTGAAAAAGGTACGAGGGGGGCTGATCGCCGGGTGGAGGGAGGGGGGTGACACCCTTGGCTTGCCACGAAGGGTGCCAGCACCTCCTGCCCCCCGCGGCTGTCGCAGATCCGTCGCTACAAAGCCAACAAAGAAGTGATGGAGAAAGCTGCCGAAGTTTACACCCGGTTGAAGTCGCGCGTCCTGGGACCAAAGATGGAGGCGATCCAGAAAGCCAACAAAGCCGGTCCGGAGAAGGACAAGGGGGACGTGGACAAGAGCCAGGAGAAGCTGGCGGGAGGGGAGACGCGGAATGAGAAGGGGGAAGAGGAGACAAACGCCGGTAATGCACCCTGCCCCTCTCTCAGGGCAGTTCCCGGCTCTGTCCGGGCCTGTAGCAACCTCGGGGCAGAGGCCGTGGGGCTGCCTGCAGAAGGGGCAATTTCACCCCCAGCTTCCCTGGTGGAGCGTGTCTGAGCTTGGGGACTGCGTGTTGAGGCGGGGCGCTGCGGGCTGAGTATCAAACGCTGGCGGCAGTGAGAGCAGAGGGCAACCTCGGTGCCCACGCCCTGACTCGGGGTGGCTGCGGGGCAGATTTTGGGCCAGGTCGGCTCCTCGCTGCCAGCTCGAGCCCTGCTCCCGGGCACCAGGGGGATGGAGGAATGTGGAGCCGCCCTTGGCCGCTGGCTCAGGCTCTTGCGCAGGCAGCTGGTGACTGGGATCTTCCATCCCCGCCTGGGGACAGCCCCGTAATGCTGCAAGAGCCTTCCTGGAGGAGCTGGTGGGGAAAATCCACGCTGCTGTCAGCCTCTGGGCACGGGGAATGGAGGCTTTGGGGCCCTTCTGGTGGCTGTCAGCCCCGGGTGAAGGGACAGCCTGCCTGTGGGTTGGGGTGAACGAGGCTCCAGCCACCACCGTGCCCAGGTATCCGACCTTGTCTCTTCCCTGCAGACCTCTCGGCTCCTGTGAATGGTGAATCCTTATCCCAAAAAGCAGAGGGCACAGAGGAGAAGGAGCGAGACAAAAGCCAAGGGCCGGGAGCCGGCGAGCTGGAGGCGTCTGCCGAGGAGACCCACAACAAGTGAGCACGGGGGGGGCTCGGCAGCTCCTCAGCACCCACCACGCCTCCACCCTCAGCTCCTCAGCAAGCTGGGCTCTTGCTCACCACCTCTGGGGGGGATATCAGAGCTTGTAGGGCTTCTCTTCTTGGGGAAGAGCCTGGGTTGGGGGAGGGAGGGATGCTGTGGGCACGGGGAGGCTCTTGCTGAGGTGCCTGTGCTCTGCCCGCAGCGTGCAGGATTATCCCAACGCCGAGCGCGAGAGGGCTCGCGGGGAGTCAGAGTCTGTGGACGACGCGGAGGAGAGCTGAGGAAGCGGGGCCCGCCTGAGGGAGGATGCAGAGGGGGCCGTGCTGCCTGACGGGAAGGGAGAGCGGCCTCCCCCTCGCCCATCTTTGAGTTACTTCACTAAGTCACACAGTAGCTGATGTCCTAGGTCTTGTCCTGTGCCCCCGACCCTGTGAAAGCACCGACCGCAGGGGCAGACTGTGCTGTTTGTCTGTATTTGTCCCCTCTTTTTTTTTTTTTTTTTTTTCCTCCCCTTCCACCTAATTTCTTGTGATTTCGACCGCCATGAAATGAATATAAAGGGTTTTTTAATGAAAAACACGAGGAGCCCTAGTGTCTATTTCTTCAGGCATCGCTGACTGTGACTAGGGGAGGGCAGGAGCATCCCTCTTCCCTTTGCCCCCTTCCCGGGGCACTGACTGGAATAATCCCCCGGGGGGGCCCTCTTCCCTTGGGCCAGGAGCCAGGCCGGGCACCCACGGGTGGCCCTGTGTCTGTCGGGGGACACCTGGACCCCCGAGGGGTGAGGGCAGGGTCTGGCTGTGCTCCCAGGGCTGCTCCAGGCTCCTTTCTTCTCGATTTTCCTGTGCCCGGGCTGGGAGCAGCCGTGTCCCAGCAGTCGGGGACCCTCTCTGTGCTGCTTGGAGCCCGTTTCCCTGTCCCTCGGGCTGGGTGCAGCTGCTTGGAGCCTGGTCCCTCTGCTCCCGCAGAGGCCACAGGGCACCAGCCTTTGGGGAAAAACAAAGTGAAATTGTGTATTCTCTCCTCTCTGAGCTGGGGGACTCGAGCGGGGCAGCGTCCTGCCTCGTGCTGGGCAGCGTCTCCTTTGTCTGTCTGTCTCTCCGCTCTTTTGCAAGGATCTGGAGCTTTTGTACATGTAAAATAAAGATGTTCCCAGCTCAACCAGCCGCCGCGTCCTCGTGTCCTCTTTGTGCAAGGATCGGGTGCCCGCACGGGCTGGGTTGCCCCGCTCCTGCTCGGAGGCTGCTGTTGCTGTAACCCTGCCCTTGGGGAGCCCGGGTTCTTTTCCAGGCTTGATTTCATGCTCCAACCCTTCATAAACAGAACCCAAATAAACCCCGTGTCCCTCTTGCCCAATTTTCGGGAAGCGAGAGGCAGAGGGAGGAGGGATGGGGTGGGAGGGGATGGGCGCTGCTGCCCGCTGCGGGGCTGATTCAGCCCCGTCCTTAGGCCCCCGATGGCCGGGGAAGGGGGACAGGGACCTGCCACCGTGCCCCAGGAGAGGCTGGACGAGCCACACAGCACCCAGCTGGGTGGCTTCAAGCCAGCTGCAAGCCCCCCACACCCCATTCAGCACCTCGGGGGCAGCGCTGCCCCAAAGCAGTCCCCAGCCCACACCACCTCGGAGCCCTGGACAGGAGCGGGACCCACGGGGAAGGACTCAATGACACGAGACACGAGTGTGGCAGCGAACAGAGCCGTGTTGATGGAGGACACGGGGCGGGGTGGGGGGGGGATATTCAGGCTGGAATTATTCCCGTGCAGGGGCCGCGGGTGCCCCCTCACCCTGCCAGGGCTCCCGTGGGTGCCGGAGGAGGAATTCCACCAACGCCTCCAGCACCTCCCAGGCCTGGGCCACCCACCTGCGGCCCCGGGTGGTCACCGCCTCCTCCAGCTCCCTCAGGGAGCCGGCCAGCACGAAGGCCCGGTGCAGCTCGCCCAAATTGTCCTGGGCCTGCTGGGCCCCCTCCCGCAGCGGGGCCGGCAGCCAGGAGGCCTGGGCCAGGAGCCACCCGAATTCATCCCGCAGCCACAGCGCCAGCTCCTGGCCCTCATCGAGCTCCTGGCATTGCTCGCACCCTACAGGCACCGGGGGGGGCCCCACCACCCCCCCAGCCTGGCTGCAGGCAGGGTTGGGGCTGGGATTTTCCTGCTCCGGGCTCCTTTGTCCCCATCGCTGCTCCTGGCCCTGGTGGCATCGCTCCGCAGAGCCTCGCCGGGCGGCCACCGCCTGCGGGAGAAACACCACGGGGACATGGGCATGGTGCTGGGGGGGGGTCCCTGTCCCCATCCCTGTCCCCTCCTGTCACCGCCAGCTCTCACCATGTCGAGGATGTGCTGGAGCCGGGTGAGGTGGTGCCAGGCGTCCTCCTGCTGCCTCCGCAGCACCACGCAGGCACGGGGGGAGCGGAGACCACCGAGCCCCCGACCCTCGGCCATGGCCACCCCCGGCCCCGCCGCAGCCCGGTCTGCAGGGTGAGGGGGGGGCACAGAGGGGGGAGAGCTGGAGGCTGCGGTGCCACAGGGACACCCCCAGCGGTGTCCTGGGGGGGGGGGTCTTACCTGCGGGCAGGTGGCGGTGCAGCCACTCCTGGGTCGCGCCCAGCGCCCGCTCGGCGCTGTGCTGGAGGAGCTGCCCGGCCCTGGCGCCCAGCAGGGCTCGGAGGCCGGTGGCTATGGCCCAGCAGATGCCCACGGCGACGTCCTCGGGGTCCGGCGTCCTCCCCAGCTCCGTGGGACTCATCGGGGCAGAGCCTGCAGCGGCCTGGGGGCACACGGGGGGGCTGTGCTCAGCATCCCCCCCAGGGCACCGTCCCTCTCCAGGGACCCCCCCCCGTGCCCACCCCTAGGGTACCTGCTGGGATGGCTGCGGGGTGGCTGCGTCCTGATCGCCCCAGGATGCTCTGCCTGTAACGGGGGGGGCACACGGGGGTGCTGACACCCTGTGTGCACCCCCCCCAGAGCCCCAGCACTGCCCCATGGCCCCGCTGTACTCACGCCAAGCCGTGCCCGGGGGGCGGATGGGGGGGCCCACGGTGGGGTGCGCGTTGGCCTCGCCACCCGTGTCCTCTGGGGTGCCGGTGGGGCGCAGGGGGCCACGGGCCCTGATGAAGCTGGGGGGCCAGGGGGGCTCCTGGCCCTCGTTGAGCTGCTCCGGGAAAGGGGCTGAGACCCGCGGGGGGGGCGCTGGGGCCCAGCTCAGCCTCTGCCCCCGGCCCCAGCCCCCCCTTTGCTGCTCCTCCTGCTCCAGCCCCGCGCCCAGGGGTGGCTCCTTGGGGTCACTGCTGGGCTGGGCGCTGTCCCTGCCTGGGGGGGGGGGGCAGAGCAGGGTGCCACTCAGTGCCTGGGATGTGTTTTGCCCCCATGGGGGTCACCAGACCCCTCCCCGTGACCCAGGACCCCCTCATCCCCCCGTGCCAGAGCCCCCCTCCCAGACATTTCTGTGCCCCCCCCAGCTGCTGCCCCCTGCTCCTGGGGACAACACCAGGGGACAGCAGCAGCACGGGAGGGGCTGGGGCCACGTCCCAGCACAGCGGGGTCCTCAGGAGGTGGCAGGGGGGGGTCTCCGCTCCTCTCTGGCAGCCCCTTACCCACCCTCAGCCATGGGCTCCGCTCAGCCGTGGTGGTGGGCTCAGGATGGGGCTCAGCACCAGGACCCCCCCCAGTGTCCCCAGTAGAAGCCCCAAGCCCTGTGAGGTCACAGGGCTCCGCCACCCCAGCTCCATTCCAGCAGCTCCATCGCCCCCCCTCCAAAGCCTCAGAGGGGGGCAGCGGACCCAGAATTGTCCCCCCCCAGCCCCAGGTCCCACAAGGAGGCTCAGACCAGTGCAAAACTCCGAGTTTATTGCTTCAGCAGCTGCCCCTGCCCGCCCCAACCCACAGGGGCTCCCCCCTGCTATGGGGCAGAGGGAAGAGCAGGGGCTGGAGGGCACCGAGAATTACAGGGGGGGGGCACAGAGGTGGCAAACGAGGGGCAGGGGCTGCTGTAGGCACTTGGGGACGCCGAGGCACTTGGCTGGCACCTTCCTGCTATAGGGGAAGGGGGCGCGGAGCCGTGCTGGGGGGGGTCCTGCACCCGGTGCAGGCAGGAGGAGGAGGATGAGGAGTTACTGGGGGTAGGCGAGGGGGGAGCTCCAGCGCTGGTATCGCTCTTGTCACCCCCCCAGGAGGCCGCTACTGCCCCTGGAGGCCCAGCAGGTGCTGGGTGGAGGGCGTGAAGGGCCCCACCAGCCAGGACAGGGGCGTGTTGTGGGCCACGTGCTCCACCAGCTCGTCCATCAGCTCGCGGGCTTTGGCGGCGTGGGTGCGAGCCTTGGCCAGGACGCTGCCGGTCACCTCCTGGAGGGACGTGGCGGAGGCCAGGCTGGCCCGCAGCTCCTCCACGTTGTGGCGAACCTGCCCGGCCGTGTCCTGGATGCCGGCGGGGAGGCCCTGCAGGCTGGACACCAGGGGCTGGCAGGCGCTCTGCAGCTGCTGGGTCAGGCCCTGCACCATGGCCAGGGCCCCCGATTCCACCCCCTGCGGGGGGACGAGGAGAGGTGAGGGGTGGGCGCACACACGGAGCTCCCCAAAAGGGGGGGCTCCCCCCAGACCTCGACCCACCTCTGGGGGAACCAGGTCCTTGCCCCCGCCCGGCTGCTTCTTGCTCCACTCCAGCCACAGCTGCTGCAGCTTCTCCTGCCCCCCCTGCAGCTTCTGGTCCATGCCCTGCTTCAGCTGCTCCACCTGACGGGGGGCAGAGCGGGGTGAGGGGGGGGCTCGTCCCAGCCCCAGCCCCGCGGGGAAGGGGGTGACGATCTAGGGCGGGGGTCCTACCAGGTCGAGGGTGCGCTGGAGCTGGGCCAGGACGTCCTGGCTGCTGTGGCGGGCGCTTTGCAGCTTGCCCAGGGAGTGCTGCAGGGCCCGGTGCCGCAGCTTGGCCGAGAGCGAGCCCAGGCGCACGAAGTAGCTCTGCTGCTGCTTCTGCTGCTCCGGCTCGAAGCCCTCCACGGCCGTGGCCAGCTTGGCTGGGGGAGAAAATCCCATGAGGTGACCCCCCCCCACATCACCACCGCCCCCCACTCAGAGACCACCCCATGGGGAATCAACCCACGGTGCCTCCAAGCAGGGGGTCCCCATCCCGCCCCGCATCTCCAGGGGGGGTTGCGTTCGGGTCCTTACCCAGCTCCTCATCCGTCATGGGCAGGTAGTGGTCCACCAGCTCCTCCGACTTCTCCAGCACGGAGCCCACCCCGCTGACCACCATCTGGCCCATGGCCGAGCCCATGACGGTGCTGACGCCGCTGCTCACCGCCGATTTGGTCAGCTCCACGCTGCCCTGCACGGCCCCCTTGGTCATGTCCATCACCCCCGTCACCCGGCTGCTCACCGCGTCCTTGGCCCCCGCCACGGTGCTGGTCAGGACATCCTTGGCCCCCGTCACGGTGGATGTCACCAGCTGCTTGGTGTCCGAGATGAGCTGGGAGAAGAGGGGGGGGAGGAAGATCCCTGAGTTTTGCAGGACCAGGGCAGACCCCGAGCACCCGTGTGCCCCCCCCCGGTACCTTCTCCGTGGGCTGCTGCAGGATGGGCAGCTTCTCCTCCAGCTTATCCAGCCCCTTGCAGGCGTACTCGTTGGCAGTGGAAACTGGGGACCCAAAACCAGCCTTTTTAACCCCAGTTCCTCGCCGGGGATGGTTTCCCAAGCACCCCCATCCCGTTTGGGGGTGCTGCCCCCCTCCAGCCCCACTCACTCTGCGGCTCCAGCTTGGTGAGGAGGGGCTGGGCCCCGCTGACCGCTGCTGCCGTCAGGGTCTTCACCCCCTTTTCGGCCACGTCGCAGACGGAGCGCACGTAGGGGTGGCTCTCCTTGGTGGAGGCGTAGGCGGTGGACACCATCCCGTAGGCAGAGCTCACCAGGGGCAGGCTGGCCACCCGCGTCCCGATGCTCTGGGTATGGGAAAAGGGATGGGGGGAGCGTGCCAGAGCCCCAAATCTCCTCGGGGATAAGGCAGGGGGCAAGGTGTGCAGCCCCCATGAGGAGCGTTGGGGTGTCCCCCACCCCACAGGGGGATAACCCCGAGTGGTGACAGGTCACAAGGGGACACCGGACCCCCCCAGCACCCCCCTGCCCCACTGACCTGCTGCTCCTCAGCCTTGGGCTGCGCCGTCCCGGGCTCGCTGGAGGCCATGGTGGGGCTGGGGGGGGGGGAAAAGCATCAGAGGGGGCTGAGCGGGGGGGGGGGCAGCACCCCTAAACGGGACAGGGGGGTGCTGGCGACCCCACAACGGGGGGACCCCAAACTCAGGACCCTGCAGCCCCTCAACCCAGAGTCAGACCGGCCAGGACAGGGGGGTCCCGGTCCCCACAACCGGACTCTGGACACCCCCGGAGCTCCTACGCAGGAAGGGGGGGGGGGGGGTCGGTCCCGGTGTCCCCCCCACCCTCGGTCCGGGAGCACGGCAGCGCCGGGATGGGGGCTGCAAGGAAGGTCCCGGTCCCGGTCCCGGTCCCGGTCCCGGTCCCGGTCCCGGTCCCGGTCCCGGTCCCGGTCCCGGTCCCGGTCCCGGTCCCGGTCCCGGTCCCGGTCCCGGTCCCGGTCCCGTTTCGCACTCACCGTCCGGGTGCCGTGCTCGGTGCTGAGCGCAGTGCCCGGCCCCCGCCCCGCTTTTATAGCCCCGGACCCGCCCCGTGCGCATGTGACCGGGACCCGCCCCATCGGGGCCGGACCGGGGACAACGATCGCCGGCCCCGGAACCCCCCCCCAGGCACGGAGCTGCCCCCCCCCGACCGGGATTCCCCAATATTGGGGTCCCGGGGTTCCCCCCAGCACGGCCCGGTGGGTGCCGAGTGGTCCCAGTGGGTGCTCAGGATCGGTCCCAGTGGGTGCTGGTGGGTCCCGGTGCCCCCCCCCCCGGTGCCCCCCCCCCAAATTCCCAGCGCAGGGGGTGCCCCGGGCCCAGCCCCGCCATGGGGCCGTGGTGGGGTTGGAGCGGTGGCGGCGATAACGGGGCCGAAGTTCAGTGCCACACGGCCGCGGGTCACAGTCCAGTAGCACCCAGCTGCCACTCCCGGCCCCCCCCAGCACCCAGCACGAAGCCCCCCCCTGCAGGGCCACCCCCAACCCCCCAGGGACCCCCCCATCACACGTCCCACCCCGCAGCAGCTCACACCCCTGGCTGTGAGTAACGCCTGGAGAATCCGGGCTTGGTTTTCCTCTTTAACTTCCATTTTTAACTTTTTTTGGCTTCACTTTTTGGTTTTCCTCTTTTTTCCCCTTTTTAACAGGCTCTGAGGCTGCTGAATCCCGACGCTGCCGGGCTGGGGGACACCGCAGGGAGCTGCAGCCCCCACAGTGTCCGGGCAGGGCTGGGCGCACGCCCCATCCTCCCCGTGCCACCGTCCCCTGCCCCCCCCAGAGAGTCCCAAGTGGCATCACGGATCCCACGCCGGGCACCGAGTCCATCCTGCCGCTTGCCCCCCCAGCAGGGGCAGATTTACAGCTGAAAGTGGGCCCCTTCCCCGGCTGGGAGGGGGGGTTGTCGGGAGGCTCTGCGCCCGCTGCACGACTGCGGGGTGCCGTGTGCCCGGTGCCCCCCGCCGCCCACGGTCACGCAGCCGTTCCACTTGGCCATCTCCACGGGGCTGTCCTCCGGGTACTCCACCAGGGCGGGGGCGAACGGCCCCACCAGCCAGGGCAGGGGCGCGTGCTGCCCCACGTACTCGATGAATTCGTCGATGCTCAGCTGCGCCCGCGTCACCGTCTGGCGGCTCTGCGCCAGCACCATGTCCGACAGGTCGTGGAAGGAGCGGGCGCGTGCCAGCGAGGCGTGCACCCCCTCCACGCCGTGCCGCACGTGCCCGGCCGTGTCCTGCACGCTGCTCGGCAGCCCCCGGGCACCGGCGGCCAGGCGGGCGCAGGCGGCACGCAGTTGCTGCAGGAGCCCCCGCAGCATGGCCAGCGTCCGCGCCTCCACCTGCAAGGCAGCGAGCGGGCAGCCCCTGGGGGGTTGCCCAAACCCCTCGGCACGGCCACCCCCCAAAAAAAATAATAAATACCTGGCTGTCCTCCATGGGCACGCCGTCCTGCCGGCTCCACTCGAGCCACATGCGGTGCAGGTGCTGCCGGGCGCCGTGCAGGGACCCGTCCATGCCCTGCTCAATCTGCAGGAAGGGAGAGCAGTGGGAGCGCACCGGGGGGGCACGCACAGGGCCACGGGGATGACCGTGGGCTTACCAGCTCGATGACACGGTGGAGCTGGGTCAGGGCGTGCTGCGCGCTGTGCCGGGCCCGTTGCAGCTCGCCCAGCGAGCGGTGCAGGGCTCGGTGCCGCAGCTTGGCCGAGAGCGAGCCCACGCGCACGAAGCAGCTCTGCCACCGCCTCTGCTGCTCCAGCGAGGCCGCCGCGGTGCCGTCCGCCACCGGGGCTGCTGTGGGGTGAGTGGGTGAGAGCCACCCTAAATGAGAGCCACCCCAAGTGAGAGCGACCCCAAGTGAGAGCCACCCCACCGGGATGTCCCCGTGCCGGGCACGGAGCATCCCACTGGTGGTGCCGGGATGTTCCCTGAGCTCTGCGCCCCGGCACAGGGGCAAACCCGGCTGCTTGCCCCCTGGGTCATGCAGAGGTGTCCCCACAACCCTCCCGGTCACCTCTGCGGTGACACGGGGCCAGCTCTGCCCACTGCTGCCCCGTGCCGAGCTATAAATACCCGGGGCGGGTGGGCTGGCGGCGCAGGGCTATATTTGCTTTCTGCTTTCCAGGTGAGAGTTCACCCACCGCTGCGCCGCGTTCCCCAGCTCCGGGTGGCCACGGAGCAGCCACACGGGGACCGTCCCCTGCGCCCTGGTGTCCCCGTAGGGCTCAGCACCACCCCGGGGTGCGAGTGGTGGTGGTGAGAGGCACTGGGTGCTGCTGAGCCCTGGGGATGGGGCGCAGTCCCAGAGGGATGGCACCCCAAAAAGAGGGCGAGATGTTTTTTTGGGCACGGCGTGCCCAGCACTCACCCGGCTCCTCGTCCGTCCTGGGCAGGTAGTGCTCCACCAGCTCCTCCGACTTCTCCAGCACCGTGTCCGCCCCCGTCGCCAGCAGCTGCCCCACGCGGGACCCCGCCACGGTGCTGATGCCGGTGCTCAGCGCCCGCCGGGTCCTCTCCACGCTGCCCTGCACGGCCCCGCGGGCCAGGCCCACCGCCCCGCTCACGGTGGATGACACCAGCTCCCTGGTCCCTGCGACCACCTGGGGAGGGGGGAAATTGAAAGGGGGGGGCTTGTCCCAGCAGCAGGCCCAGGGCTCAATCCCGGTGCCCCCCGAATTTGGGGGGGGTGAAACGTTACCATCTCCGTGGGCTGCTGCAGGATGGGCAGCTTCTCCTCCAGCTTATCCAGCCCCTTGCAGGCGTACTCGTTGGCAGTGGAAACTGGGGACCCAAAACCAGCCTTTTTAACCCCGGTTCCTCGCCAGGGACGATTTCCCGAGCACCCCCATCCCGTTTGGGGGTGCTGCCCCCCTTCAGCCCCACTCACTCTGCGGCTCCAGCTTGGTGAGGAGGGGCTGGGCCCCGCTGACCGCTGCTGCCGTCAGGGTCTTCACCCCCTTTTCGGCCACGGCGCAGACGGAGCGCACGTAGGGGTGGCTCTCCTTGGTGGAGGCGTAGGCGGTGGACACGGCGCCGCGGGCAGAGCTCACCAGGGCCAGGTTGGCCACCCGGCTCACCACGCTCTGCCACGGGACACGGGGGCCGTGAGCTTGAGGGTGGGGGGGAGCCAAGTGATGCCCCCCCAGCCCCCCTCAGCCCTCAGCATCCCTACCTGCGCCTCCCGCTCGGTCTCCGCCGGTGCCATGGTTTTGGCTGACATGGCAGCAGGGGCTGTGCAGGGGACAGAGATGGGTTTGGGGGGCCACGAGCTGCCCCCCACCAGCTTGCGGGGGCACCCGGAGGCCTCCGAGCCACTCGTGGGGGAGGTTTTGGGGTGAGGAAGGGGTTTTGGGGCCGGGGCCGACCTCCCACCATTGGGGTCCCCCCATGGGGCTGGGGAGGATTTGGCCGTGGTTGGGGCCGGATCCGCTCGGTGCTGCCTTTTTGGGGGTCCCCCAGGGCAGCCCGCACCCCCCGGCACCCCCCAGCCGGACCTCTCGGTGTCCCTTGGGGTGACCCCGGGGCTGCGTCCCATGGGGGGGGGGGGCGCACACACGGTGCTGCCCCTGCGCACCCCGGGGGCGCGTCCTTGGGGTCCCCACGGGAAGGTCCCTATGGGGGGGGGGGCTGGGGGTCCCCTGGGGGTCCCCTGCGAGCGTGGGGGGGGGTCTCGGAGTCCCCGGGGGCTGGGGGCGGCTCCCTGGGGACGGGTCCTTGGGGGTCCCTGGGGGTCCCTGGGGGTCCCTGGGGGCAGGCAGGGCTCGCCCCCCCCCCACCCCGTAACGCCCCCTCCGCCCTCCGTCCCCTCCAACGCCCCCCGCGGGTCAGCACTTACGGGGGAGGGGCTGTCGCGATCCCCGATCGCGATCGCGATCCCCGGTCGCGATCCCCCCCCCGCTCCCCGCCCAGCGCCGGATTCATAGTGAAGGCGGGGGCCAATGGGCGGAGGGGAGGGCCAAGGCTCAGCCAATTGGGAGGGGGGGGCGGGACCTTGGGGGGGGCGCCACGTGGGGCCGGGGGGGGCCGCATCGTGCCCGGGGCTGTCCCCGTGCCCCCTGGCCCCATGGCAGGCGGCCCCCAGCCCTCTGACCCCATAGGGAGTGACCCCGTGCCAAGTGTCCCCCACCCGTGCGACCCCATAGTTGGTGACCCCATGCCCTGTGTCCCCTACCCCTGTGACCCCATAGGGAGTGACCCCATGCCCCATGTCCCCATGCCCAGTGTCCCCCACCCGTGTGACCCCATAGCAGGTGACCCCGCACCAAATGTCCCCATGCCCGGTGTCCCCATGCCAAGCATCTCCCTCCCACGCCTGGTGTCCCCATGCCAGGTGTCCCCTATCCGTGTGACCCCCTAGCGGGTGACCCTGTGCCACGTGTCCCCATGCCAGGTGTCCCCGTGCCAAGATTCCCCATGCCAGGTGTCCCCATACCACGTCTCCTTGCCGTGTGCCCGCATGCCAAGTGTCCCCTTGCCGTGTGTCCCCATAGCAGGTGACCCTGTACCAAGTGTCCCCATGCCATGTGTCCCCATGCCAGGTGTCCCCTTGCCAGGTGTCCCCATGCCAAGCATCTCCATCCCAAAATTCCCCACGCCAGGTGTCCCCATCCCCAGTGTCCCCATGCCAGGTGTCCCCATACCATGTCCCCTTGCCGTGTGTCCCCATAGTGAGTGACCCTGTGCCATGTGCCCCATGCCAGGTGTCCCCTTGCCAGGTGACCATCCCCATCCCAAAATTCCAACCTCCCCATGCCAGGTGTCCCCATACCCCATGTCCCCTTGCACCAAGTGTCCCCGTGCCATCAGGGCCCCTCGGTGCCACCAGCAGCCCCTGCAGGTCCTCGGGCTCAGCGTCACGCAGAGGTGGCACTGTGGTGGCACCCGGGGGGTGGTCCCGTGGGGATGGGGCTGGTCCGGATGGGGGTGGGCAGGGGACAGAGAGGGGCTGGGAAGGCACAGCCATGGGACAGGTGCCTGGCACTGTGTGACCTGGGGACACTGCAGGACACCGCAGAACAAAGAGCATTGTCTCGAGGTCGCTGTTTAATGTCTTGGGGGGCGGGATGGGGACAGGGACGTGGGACAGGTGGGACAGGGCTGGGGGCCATCGGGGTGGAGAAGGTGGGATGGGAACAGGGGGATTGGGCTCCCCCTGCCTCAGTTTCCCCAGGAGAACCCGGCTCAGCTGGGGACACAGCATCAGGGCAGGAGGGGACCCAAGAGGGGACCCAGGAGGGGACCCAGGAGGGGACCCAGGCGGGCACCTGGGCGACCCCAATCCCTTTACCTAGGGGTCGGGCAGGCTCTGCCCATCCTCCTCGGGCTGGCACCCTGCGTCCCCAGCCTGGCTCAGGGTGCCCACCTCCTGTCCCTGGCGGTGGGGGGGGCTGGCACAGAGGGTGCCACGGGCGGCCACGAGCTGCGGGGCCGCGCGCCGCAGGAGCTCCAGCAGCGGGCACTCACAGGCCCAGGGGTTGCCCGAGATGTCGAGGGACAGCGGGGGGCCGGGGGGGCGCGGGGGCAGCTCCAGGGCCCGCAGCCGGTTGTGCGCCAGGTCGAGGACCTGGAGGTGGCTGAGGGGGGCAAAGAGGCCAGCGGGCAGCGCCCGCAGCTCGTTGCCCTGCAGGAAAAGCAGGCGCAGGGCGGGCACGGGCGCGAAGGCGTCGGGGGGCAGCGCACGGAGCCGGTTCCCCTCCAGGTCGAGCCGCTCCAGCTCCCGCAGCCCAGCCAGCGAGCGCCCGTCCAGGCTCTCCAGGCGGTTGTGGGACAGGTCCAGGCTTTGCAGGGACACCAGCGGGTGGAAAACCTCCGCAGGCACCTCCGCCAGCGCGTTGGCCCCCACGTCGAGCCAGCGCAGGCGGGCGAGGTGCTGGAACCAGGGGGGCTGCAGCGCCCGCAGGCGGTTCCCCCGCAGCACCAGGTGCTGCAGGAGCTGGGAGCGCTGGAAGAGGCGGGCGGGCAGCTCGGGCAGCGCGTTGGCCGTCAGGTCGAGGACGCGCAGGGCGGGCACGGGCCACAGCAGCTCCTCGGGCAGGGAGGCCAGGAGGTTGGAGGCGAGGTGCAGCTCCTGCAGCTCCGGCAGCCCCGCCAGGGCGTCGGGAGCCAGGGTGGCCACGGCCGTGAATTCCACCGAGACGGCCAGCGTGGTGGGGGGCAGCCCCCCGGGGAAGGTGCGCAGGGTGGGCTCGGTGCAGACGAAGCGGGTGGCGTTGGGCTGCGGGGGGCACGGCGTGGAGGGGCTGCTCAGCACCAGCAGCAGCAGCGGCAGCAGGATCCAGCCCGGTGGCACCATGGTGGTGGTGCCGGAGCTGCGGGCAGGAGGCCGCCGTCAGCCGAGGGTTGTGCAAGCCCTGTAGCTCCCAGCCCCGCCACCGCCTCTCCAAATGTCCCCGTCCCCGTGTCCCCTGTCCCCAACCCCGCTCCTGGCCTCCCCCCCCAGCCCTGTCCTCACCTCCTGCAGGGGTCGGCCGGGCTCTTCGGGGACTGAGGGTCCCGGTTCCTTCCTCCCCAGTGGTGGTGGCCGTCACCGAGCTGGTTGGTGGCTCGTCCCCACGTGCCGCTCGGGAAATCGCCGCCTTCGCCAGCGCTGCCAGCTCGCACGGTGCCAGAACTGGGGGCAGGGGCAGGGTTCACATCCCCTCGTCCCCATCACCCCACAGCATGGGGGGGGGGCACGGCATTGACCTCCTGCACACCACAGGGGGCTGGGGGCACGGTGGGGGCCCCCCCACGGGCTGTGGGTGTCCACAAGAGGGTGCGAGTGCGCGGAGATGGGGGTGGGTGCGCACGCTGGGAGAGGAGGCTTGGCGCAACAGAACGCGCGCTCCCCCTGCCCCAAATCCCCCTCCAGCCCCAAATCCCCCCCAGCTGGCCCCGTGCCCCCCATGGGACCCACCCGTGGGACGTGGCCGTCCCCATTTCCATGCTGCCAGGATGTGGCCGGGCACCGGCAGCAGCCGCACGCCCCGGTGCAGGCAAATCCCCCGGGATGTGGGGAGCGCCCAGCACCATGACCTGCTTTGCCTCTCCCCGTGCCACATCCCGGAGCCCCCCCCGGAGCAGAGAAGCAGCATCCGAGGTGGCGGCGGGGAGGGGAATTCTCCTCTTGTAAACAGAAATTTATTGCGGGGCTCCGGGGTTATACAGAGACGTTTCCGCTGTCGCATGCATGGCCGGCCCGGGGCGGCGGGGTGCCCGCGGTGCCCTGGCACCCTATTTACAGCGTGGGGCAGTGCTGCGGGCCGGCCCCCCCCCGGGGCACACAGAACCCGCAGTCCCCCTGTGCGCAGCCCCCTGGGGAGCACCGGGCTGACCCGCCTCGGTACCGGGGGGGTCCTGACCCCTTTTTGCCCCCCCCCCCCCTTCTCCCTCCTGCCTGCAGCTGGGGCAGGGTGGGCACCAAAAGGGCACCCTTTGCCAGCAGAGAGTGGGGTCAGTGGGACCCCCTGCACCCCAGTGAGAGCAGGGCCCCCCATCCAGGCTCCAGCCCCCAGCCCCCAGCAGTGCTTTTGAGGAGGGGGGAGCTGGGGGCTTGGAGCTGGGGGGGGGCTGCTCGGTGCTGTCCTGTCCGGGTGTCCCCAGGGTGCTGGCAGCACCCACAAGCCCCCTGAGTGCCCAGGCAGGGCTGATTCGGGACTGGGGGGCTCCGGGGAGGTGCGGGGGTACAGCCTCGCTCTGCCTCAGTTTCGCCCGTGTCCGTGTGTCCATCCTGCTGCCTCCCAGGGATCCCCCCCCAGGGCGCAGCGGTCCCTGGGTCCAGCCTGGGGAGGGGACGGGACAGACGGACACCCGGAGCACAGGGCACTGCCCCGTGCCAGCCGGGGACAGTGGGGACAGGTGGGGACGGCCCCAAACCCTGCCCGGGCGCACCCGTCCCCCATGCAGCATCTCAGCCCTCCCCGTGCCCACCGCTCCTGCCCTGGGGTCACCTCGTCCCCGTCCCCAGGGAACCGGGGGGGGGACCGCAGCGCGGCGTGGAGGTGGAGAGCGTCCACAACAGCGTGGGCAGCGCCCGTGGGTGCCGGGATGGGCAGCAGGGCCCTATTTGCCCGAGGGAGTCCGCTCCACGCCGTAGCGCAGGAGGTGGTGCAGGTCCGTGAGCGCCCTTGGGGGGCCCGCGCCGTGCGCCCGCGGTGCCGTGCCGTGCCGCCCGTAGCCCCCCGCCGGCGCTTCGCCGCTGTTAAATGTGTGGTTCCTCTTGAGGTGGGCGCCGGGGCGGCCCGTGCCGTTGTTGGCGTTGAAGTTCAGCTGCTCGGGGTGCCAGGGTGGCCCCTCGGCAAAGTCCCCCCCATCCCCACCCGGCGCCGAAACCACGCGCCGGCGGTCGGGGCTGGGGCGCGGCGTGCCGGCGAAGTCGCCGTAGGAGCTGCGGGGCGGGCGGCGGGCGCCGGTGGCGGGGGGGTGCTGCCGGGCACGGGGACCCTCGGGGGGGTCCCGGCCCCAGTGCCCGTCACCCGAGGAGTCGCTGAGTTCGGCCTCCAGCTCCTGGTCCACCAGGATGGCGTGGCAGGAGAGGGGCATGCCGCGGGCCGGGCGGCCGGGGCCGGCGTGGAGCCGTCCAGCAGCAGCGGCGGCAGCGGCGGTGGCGGCGGTGCCGGGGTCCCGCAGCGCGGCGTTGATGATGTTGTGGCTCTGCTCCCAGGTGCAGTTTTGGAGGGTGCCGGGGCAGCGCTTCTGCTGCAGTGGGGTCTGCTCCGGCGTGGGCAGGACGCCCGAGTCCAGGTCGTGTTGGCTCGCCTTGCCCAGCTCCTTGGGCCAGCCGTTGGGCATGAGCGGGGCCAGCAGGGCTCCGGGTTGCCCCCCGCGCGCTCGCCGCTCGCCCAGCCGGCTGACGCTCACCACCGACTCGCTGTGTGCCAGGATGGTCTCCTTGTCCTTGCGCCGCGCCAGCTCCTTGCGGTCCCGGTGCCCGATGAACCAGCAGACGCTGAAGCCCGAGATGACGGCGCCGATGACGAAGGCGGCCACGGAGGAGATGACCAGCAGGTTCACCGACACCAGCCCGTCCGGCTCGTCCACGAAGCTCTCGGTCACCAGCCCTTGGTGACGGCAAGGGGGGGGGCATCAGGGGACGGCTGCGGTGTCCCCCCCCCGGTGTCCCCGAGCCCCCTCCCTGCCCCACACTCACCCTCGCACTCGCCCAGGTGCGATGTGCTGCCACCGGCAATGTCCTGCTCGAAAGCTGTCCTGTGAGGGGGGAGGACATAAATTTTTTTGGGGGGGTTAGTGCCTAACAGCCTGGCAGAGGGCTGGCAGCTTGCTTCAGCCAGTGCTGAGTGTGCTGGGGTTAGGTTTGGGGAGCTGGTGGAGCTGACGCAGCTCAAGCTTTGCAGGCTCTGGGGAGCCCCCAAGACCCCCCCGTTCCCCTCGTGTCCCCCCCCCTCTCCGTTACCTGGGGCTGGGCTCCAGGAAGATGCAGGAGCCCTCGGGCGTCCAGCCACAGTACGGATCCCGGCTCCCGAGGCAGTTCCTGGCAGGGCACAGCGGGGTCAGGAACACCCCTGGCACAGGGGGGGCGACACCCCGGCCCCCTCCAGGAACCCTGCCCCAGCACCGTGCCTCAGTTTCCCCCAGCAGTGCTCCCAATCCCAGCCCGACCTTGTCACGGGACAAACCCACGGGGTGTCAGAGCCCCCCCCCTCCTCGCACGGAGCCCCCTCACTCACTTCATGCAGCCCGAGTGCTGCTGGCAGCGCGCCACGGGCACCCTGGCCACGCACGGGGGGAAGGCCAGCAGCAGGGACCCTGCCGCCTTGTCCAGCTCCAGGCCCAGCAGCCGCCGCTCGTCCTCTGTGTCCCGGCCACACCTGGGCATGGGGCAGAGCTCAGCTGGTGGGGCAGAGACCAGCTCCCCGCCGGGGGCTGGTCCAGAGGAGGGAGCTCACCCGTGGGCCCCCGTCTCGTCCACAAACCCAACCCTTGTATCCTTCTGTTCCTTTCATCCATCCGTCCATCCATCTGTCCGTCCATCCATCCATCCATCCGTCCGTCCTCAACCACCTCATTCCTGCTCCCATTTCACCTTGCAGCCACCAGTCAATCCCTCCACGACCACCTCATCCATCCAAGCACCCCATCAGCCCGCCCACCCACCCACCCATCCATCCGACCACCCTCTGTCCACCTTACCCACCCACCCACCCACCCATCCCTCCATCCATCATTCTCATCCATCCACTCACCCATTCATTTAACCACCCGTCCATCTGTCCATCCACCCACCTTTTCATTCATCCACCCACCTTTCCATCAATCCATCCATCCGTCCATCCATCCGTCCGTCTGTCCATCCATTCGTCCATCCACCCACCCTTCCATCCACTCATCCATTCACTCATCCACCCACCCACCCTTCCATTCATCCGTCCGTCCGTCCGTCCATCCATCCATCCACCCACTCATCCATCCACCGTTCCATCTGTCTGTCTGTCCGTCCATCCATCCATCTGCCCACCCTTTCATCCACCCACTTACCCACCCACCCACCCACCCACCCACCCATCCCTCCCTCCCTCCCTCCCTCCCTCCCTCCCTCCACCCGTCCGTCTGTCTGCCCCCCCTACCTCCCCGGCTGGTAGGTCTCAAACTCCTCCAGGAAGACGCTCTGGCTGCCAGGGGGGGCGGGCGCGGGGCTGCGGGTGGCGTTGGGGTGGATGAGGAACTTGAGGACGGTGCCCGTGCTGGAGCCCAGGAACACCACGGTGTGGTTGCCCCACGGCCCCGCCGCGGTGTCCACCACGATCCTGCGGAGCTGGTACCTGCGGTGTGAGCCGAGCGAGGCGCTGGGGAGCCCGCGGGAGGGGAAACTGAGGCAGGGTGGGAGCTGGGACCCCCGGGGGGGGGATGGACAGATTGCAGCCAGCCCCCAGCGGGAGCCACCGGGGAGCGTGGGGGGCAGTGGAGGTCCCAAATAGAACCAGTCCAGATCCCAGCCAGACCTGGCCCGGATCCTGCGCAGGAACCAGGCGGACCCAGAGCAGATCCCATCCAGATCCCGGCTCAGATCCCAGCCAAACCCACTCAGGATCCAGCCTGGATCCCCCTCCCTCAATCCCAGTGGGTCTCCAGCCCAAATCCCACCTGGGATCCCCCCCGTGACCCCTCACAGGACCCCAGCCGGTCCCCAGCCCCACCGCCTGCCCCCAGCCCCGTGCATGCCCTGCCTGCCCTGCCAGCGCGCCCGCGAGCACCGCGTGATTAATTCCCCGTCAAGCAGCAATTAAGGTAGATTTAATTAGGATGAGACGATCTCAACTGCAAAGTTTATGAGATTTATCAGGTCTCCTGGTGCTCGCCCGCCGCTGGCACGCGCCCCTGCGCCTCTCCGCGCGTGCGCAAGGGCAGCGCTGGCAGCTCCCGTGCACCAGCGTGAGCCGTGCACGTGGACACGGCTGTGAGCACCCCACACGTGCACGGACACCCCCGGGGGACCCCCCCTTGAGCCTCCCCGGGCCCGATCCTACCGCCGGGAGCTCACCGGCTCATGGTGCGGACGATCCAGGGCACGTTGCCCAGGGACGGCACCGCCTCGTCCATCAGCGGGTGCGTCTTGACGAAGGTGAGGATCTCGTCGGGGAAGGTGCTGGAGGAGTTGTAGCGCATCCCCGGGGCCGCACAGCACCCGGGCCTGCCGCCACGGCACGCCGGGGCTCAGCGCTGTCACTGCACGGCTGGCACCTGCCCCCATCCCCATCCCCATCCCCGTCCCCATCCCCTTCCCCATCCCCTTCTCCATCCCCATCCCCGTCAGCACCAGCCCTCAGCACCACTCCCGTCCCCATCCCTGTCCCCAGCCCCGTCCCTTTCCCGTCCCCATCCCTGCGCTCACTCACTCACTCACCGCGGCTTCGGCACCAAGTCCTCGGGCACCGGCGTCCAGATGGATTCGGGGGATTTCTGCTCCCGGAAACGTCCCTCGAAGACGGCGGCCACTTGGGTCA